CTCACTGTCTCAAGATGTCCCCCGTTCATGTACCAGCATTAGGGAGAAGCAAATACTCAAGGCCTGGCTCAGTGTGTTTCTTCGCGGGCTCTACTGTGTTACTGTGTTTGTGTGTTTATAGTGCTCATGACTATCTGTAAGTAGTCAGCTAAATGCAATCAGCTCTGGGCATGCGGTACATACATGTATAATCTTAGGTATCCAGATAATATGTGCCATCCTGATAATGTTAGTTAGTGTTAGGCCATGTTAGCAAATGATATACTTGTGTCCTTAATTAAAAATTAATAACTAGAGTGGGCATTAATAAATGCAGTTTGCTATTATCGTGATTGGTCCATTACGCGTACAAAACAACTGTGGTTCAAGGAGCAATACGTAAGTCGTTGCTGTCTTTACGCGGACCACTTCAAACATGATCACGTGACAGCTGTAGGAAGAGCAGGAAGGAAGAAAGAAACATAATTATAGCATTATACTGGTACAAAGGATACTAGTACAAATACCTTTTAAAATATTGTTGAGCCAATTCACAATTCTGTCTTTCAACAAACTGTGTTCATCTTCAGCAGCTTCTCCCCAACCTTGAGGTATTGAATTACTTGAAATGCGTAAAGGCAAATGAATGCCCGTGTACACTACTGAAGTACTCACGGGAGTTTCCCAGGCAAGGGAATTTTCGAATCAAGGGAATTCCCCAGTACACGTGTACCAAGAGAGGGGTGATGCACTCTTACTGGCAGGAATATCTACAAAATTACGATGCTAAAAACTGCATGTACATGTACATGACATGTAAATGATCTGCACCATTATGATGCTAGGTAAAGGACCTACATGGAAGTGGATCACCTCAAAAATCCCGGAAACTCACCCTCCAAAGTATTTTTTACAGTTTGGCCAGTCTGCTGCTATACATGTACATGTGCTTCTTGGGGGTTAGACAGGGGGAGGGGGGGGGTTAGACAGGGAGGGGGGGGTTAGACAGGGAGAGGGGGGGGGTTAGACAGGGAGAGGGGGGGTTAGACAGGGGAGGGGGTTAGACAGGGGGAGGGGGTTAGACAGGGGAGGGGGTTAGACAGGGGGAGGGGGGTTAGACAGGGGGAGGGGGGTTAGACAGGGGAGGGGGGTTAGACAGGGGAGGGGGGGGGGGTTAGACAGGGGGAAGTAGCCATGTATTACTGGATTGCATTCCACCTTCCAGAGTTTGCACAGTGAGTAGGTCACTGAGCAACAGCGGCTTACCCTTCTCTTGATGCCAGACATCCATCCTTTGTTCTTCTTCTTGGGCGGTGTCACCTTACTGACAGCGGGTAGAGTATATCCGGAGGCACCATCAGGCGCCCCTGGCCGTGAGTAATCAAAGTCCATGGACTGCGAGTCATTGCTACTACTTCCGGTCGTGTCAGTGGATAGGTTCTATACAAGAAACAGGCAAGCAGATGCGGCGTTTCAGGACTATCAACTCCAGTAGGAATCATAATAACGTTAATTATGAAGGAGCTGCTACAACACAGTCCTCAAAAAAAGCGTATCGATTCTCGGGAGTACTTTTCTGGCTGTGAGATACATCGCAGATCCTACCCAGGGTAATCATACTGTCCATAGAATCTCTTTGCTGGCCTTGCTATGCACATTAGCATGAGAGCGTTAGGCTAATGAACATGTACATTTGTACACAGATTACAAGAGTGTGCCAAGGCTAAATGGCATTTCAATGAATAAATTAACAGCAATTGTGCCCGTGCCTCAAATCACTGAACAGTTTCCACTGAAGATATGGTGCAGCTTACGGATAGTGCGGAGCTGATGCTGTTGAGGGTGTCTGCACTGCCTGCGGTACCAGTCCGCAGGAACTCTGCACACGCCCTGTGTTTGTTTTCAATGGCGAAATCACTGCAGAGAGAACAGGCCAGTAACCAGCAGGTCAAGGACGGTACTACAGACTGAGAGCTCTAGTGTATACAGTTGAATGGAGAGGGTGATGCATTATCATTGCAGATCATACATGTACATGGCATATACCGATAGTTCAGATCAAACTATTTGCTGTGGTAATCCGGTTCACATCATTGGAGCGATCATGATTATGATTGTGTGGTGCTTGTCTTGCATGACAATTGTGGAACTTCCATTTTGATTTATAATTACCATACAGTATTCCACTCGAGATTGTGTTATTATTGCTGTCCAACAATCTTGTCCACTACCACAACTTGGTTATGAGATACTATCCAACGCTACAGACAGCAAGCGAGACACATTGTATTTCGTTTTTACTAAATTATTTGTCCGACATTGCATTGCTCTTCCACGTAGATTTTCTTACAGTGGCGTGTTGCTATCCTTGTCCGTTGGGAACATGTTGCAGCGATGCATGGCGAACACACGCAGCGACTCCAGCTGCCCTTGCTCGGCTGCATCGTGCACTGGCGTGTCGCCATAGTCATCTGTCTCCGAGCCATCGCACAACTGTAGGCCGCGAGCAGCAAACACACACCGCAGGACACAAGATCGTCAAGTGACCCTGTCAACATTGTACATTTTTGTACATATTCGTATATTGTGAGAAAACGTGAGCAAGCTTATACAGGTAGAGTACCATTTGGAAGGGCATACCTTTAGCCTGCTTCCCTACCTTAGTGTCCATTGTATACCAGTACATATACGTATTGAATTTGAAGTACTAAACAATGCATGTCAATGTAATTGTAAGCCTAACCCCTAACCCCACCTACTTCCCAACAAAGCTTGCCTCCCATAAAGTATCAATTACGAGACTATGCCTTGAAATCGCTCCATCTTCTGAAAGCACTCACATGGTGATTGAGCATCCATTGAAGGATGTTCACGTGACCCTTGGCAGCAGCGAAATGGACAGGAGTGGCACCGTCTGTAGTACGACACGTCACCTGGCAACCAGCCTTTCTCACTAGCCACGTCATCGTATTGATGCGACCTGCAGAACAGTGCAACAGTGATATTCTCTATTATCACAGTATGTACTGTGCATGACGAGAGAGAGAGAGAGAGAGAGAGAGAGAGAGAGAGAGAGAGAGAGAGTGAGGGGGGGGGAGAAGCAGAGAGAGAAATACGGATAGACAGAGAGAAAACAGAGCCTTCGACACGTGCAAAATCGTTTGATTGATGGTGATGGTGCAGCATGGATCTTAGACGTCATGTCAAACTCAATTGTAGCATAACCATGCTTGCTATGTGGCTAGGAATATCTTCGTGGTCCATATCACCATTGCTAGTACTAACCTACAGGACCGCTATACATCTAGACAACTTTGCTTACCTGTTTGTGCTGCAGCATGTAATGGTGTCATACCGTCATTGCTGGCCAGGTTAGGGTCAGCTCTGGCCCCTTCAACCAGCCACTGCACACAGTCCGTGTGACCTTCCTGTGCTGCGAAGTACGCTGTGGAACAGGCAGGGGAAACAAAGCAAAGATTTGTTGTGATTACATGTAGATCTACTGCTGCATTGTACGGAGTTAGTAACCTACTGCTGGTGGGTGTATGCCCAGTACAGTCCATGCAGGAATCTAAATATCATGTGAGTGATTATGAGTGAACCCAGTACAACTGTGTGATTGTCATGGCGAGTTGCTTAGGTGACCATGCAGGCCTGGTACACATTTTATTTGTATGTTTTTGCTCTGGTCCTTCCTGAAGCAGCCCTGTCTGCCAACACAGAGCTGCCAGTTATCCATGGGTTAAACACTGCTGATAGCATAGAGCTGCACGTGTCCTATGCCACATCGGAATAACTTCCAGTCTCGACTTTGTTGACATAATACACAGCTGCACCACACCTAATGTCATGGTAATAGGCGATTCAGACTACGGCCAAAATCACGTGTGAACTTGAATTTCCATGGTGATGCAGTCGTGTTTCAAACTGTTATGCACAATCCCTGATCAAAATACGTCGAAGAGTCGTAGAAGCGTGGTCACAGTTGGCCGTAGTCTGAATCGCCTATTAGGCATGGTTGGACCCTGCCCTGCAGGGCTGACCTAATCCTGAACAGCAGTGTGTAGTATGTATCTTGAATAGATCGTGTTATGTACAATGTAGTAGGTGATCTGGATGGGAAAACAGTCGTTATTTATTCAAGTGTAGTCGTGGCAACATCACTACCATAACTATGATTGTGGCCAATGATTTGATTGGAGAAAGAAAGGATTCACAGCAATGTTCACTAGACGAATACCAAGGGCACATGCGCACAGACTCTCTCAGAGCACACTCTACTCGAACAGTCCTAGTGCACTTTAGACATACAGTTCATTGCACTATAAGTGTAACTCTGGACGAACACATTCAATGAAAATGGGGACACGCTGTACTGTATATGATAATTATGTACTCATACTTGTACTTGCCAACCTTTGCAAACCCTGAGATCAGGACAATGACATACCTACATGTCGGTATGAAAATGTATAATAAATGTAGCTGTGAGGCAGACAACTACATCTAATGCACTTCTGGGTGCCTATTAGTAATAACCACCCTCGCGTATCGGGACGGTCCCGGCCTAATCGGGATAATTGGCAGGTATGTGGACTGTAGTACTTACTTGGGGTCGCACCTCCCGTTGTACGACTGTTCGGCGTCTTGGATGCCTGAACAACGGTCTTGAGCGCGTCCAGGAATCCGCCACTGGCTGCAAAATGCGCCGGCGTAGCACCGTCGTTGTTCCGCAGATCTCCCAGTTCGTCACACGCCGTCACCAGCTCTCGCAGGCAGTCCACGTGTCCGTTATGAGCGGCAACGTGAGCGACGGTGGCACCTCTGCCATCTCGGTATAGTACTGCTTTGGGATCGTGGCCCAACAGGATATGAAGAGCCTCGAGATTTCCAATCTTGGCGGCAATGTGTGCACAGGTGACGCCTGAAGGTGTGGTATCCTGCTGCGGATCGGCACCTCGACTGTTCAGCAGGCGCTTCAAGCACTCCGCATGCCGGTTGTTCACCGCCCCAATGAGACTGTTCGGCGAACTAACACACTTATCGCACGGCTCAGCCTCTCCTGCTGGTACTAGCGTGGAACTGCTCGACCGGCTATTACTGAACGAAGCCTTCCGTGGCGAGCATTCGCCTCTGCTCGTCGTACCACTGTTGCATTGCGAAGTGTTGTTGCTGCTGTCCTCTACGTTCAGAAAGTCGTCGAGTTCGTTGAGTGTGTTGATGGCTGTGTGGCTGGTGTAGAGCGCCAAGGCTGGTCTAGCGGCTCCGAGCATGCTGTCTTGACCTTCAGGACTGGATATTGCAGGCGGTGCGCGGTCGAACATCGCTGTGCTTCGAACACCACTGGACACCCGTTTCTCTTTCGAGAGGCACACGGATGAAGCGTTAGTACTATCAGGAGACACTACGGTAAGAAGAGTTGTTCTCCAACACACTCTAATACACCTAGGTTACTAGGGACATTCAAACGAACTGACTTAGGCCAACTTCCTTCGGCAGGCGGACAATATGGAAGACAAGACTCGACTGACGGAGACATGCACTGTATGCTATCCTATGGCCCTATTGGTACGGCGGAATGACTGAACTGTCCTTGCCTCTCGTTGTGCTGATGTAATGATACTCGCGTCTCGCGGTGGATCGTACCCGCCAGACCAGGGTCACTGGTGTTGAACACAGCACGGACAGGCACAAGAGATAAATAGATCATAACCCCCTAGATTCTGTCAACAACGTGGTCCGTGGCAGTTAGAAGCCTGTTGGAATTGCTGTAATACTGTGCAAGATAATCGTCTGGGGAACCATATCACTGGCCAATCTGTTGTCACCCCTCAGTGGCACAGGCCGGTTATGCAGCCTGACTAGTCCACCTTTGTGCTAGGCCATGGAGACCAGCGGAGTGGATCTTACAACAAACGCCGGGTTTCGCCGGACCCACCGCAGATCCTCACGTCAGCATGGACACCTTTCCACCACTGAATCATGTGATGAGAACACTTCTCAAACTGGCCTGCAACATGCACGCCACCTCCCCGTTGACGGTTGCCATAGCTCCCGTGACAACTGGTGTCAAGTCTCCCGTCACACTTACCAGCCATCCACCACACGGGGACAACATGCGAAAACCACACGCAAACACACTGTACGAAAGTGTTGACGCACAGCAGCGTAGATCCATATCTGTATGGCACTGCCCCACTGTCTACACTACAAAGTCTACATGTCAGCAGCATAGTAGCTCAGCTATCTAGCAGCCCCCGGCCTCCATTCTAGATCACCAGCTCCTTTTAGCTATGCCAGTACATCAATGTCCAAGACGTCTAGTGCGCCAAATATCATGTGCGTGGAATCTACAACGGCACGTACGGATACGACACTCACTGCTTATCATGCTGGAGACGGCGGTGCTGTCGTGGACACCAGTGCTTGACAACCGTAGACTATGTCGCCAGTCACATGAACTCTGTGCGTCACAGCAGCAACACGTGACCATGGTGATAGCGGGAAGCACACCTAAACAGTACAGGACTGGGGGCAAGAAATAGTTTGAACTGAGTAGTCCCATTATGCTGGAACTCCTTGAAACATGTAAGGTTTTCAGGACAAGGCCCGCTGGCGGAATTCCGATATGCTCCTGTTCTTGAATGTCATGTGACGCAGCAATGCTCAGGGCATAGGTCAGTTCAGTGGTTGTGTGTCAAGATGAGGTAGTTTATAACTTCGCGACTGGAAGACTATAATACCAGGGCATGGGGTGGGGAATCCATTTCCTTATCCTTCCAGGAAAGATAATTGCAGCTAAATCTTACCCACAGTGGAAGCAAGTGATAGTTCAAAATCCGTGCGGCAGTAGGATAGTGGCAGTAAGGTTCTGTGTACATCTCCAATCTGGCCATCTGTAGGCTCAGCCACTCTGTTTGATGGTAAAATAGTAGTGGGAAAAGGCGTATCTCTAGGCTTTTGTTTCATCCTTGACCGTAAATCCGCCTCAGTGTACATAAACGAACGGATTCATTTTGAAAAAGAAAAGTCCATCTGAGTCTATTCCTTCTATTCTTGGGAATACATTATGAGGATGGCAACAAGCAACGTCACACCTGGGAGTAACACTGTTTGATTCTGTACCCGGGGAGTGTTTATCACCGAATCCATTTGCAAACTAGCTGTCGAATCCATTCCACTGAGCGTTCAATAATGGTTAAACCTGATGTTCGTATCTACTCACAACTCTTTAGCTCGCCTCAGCTTTAGGCAATGTCATGCAATCATAACGCATCAAATAATCATTGCGAGGAAACATGAAGCTGAGCACACCCATTGACTGAATTCCTACAGGTATTTCGCATTGTATTGTATTTTACCCGAGGATGTACCCAGAGTGCTGACAGTGCTCAACACCGCGGAGGAAGAGCGCAATAGAGAACAAAACAACAAGGACAATCAAGGCTTGTTTGCTGCTACTTCAAGTTTCATGCTCTCGCAATCATGTATTGTATTATTTTACTTGGGCATTCCCAACAGATCCTAATGTCTTCTTACATGGTGTCCAATGTGTATGTTTGTGTCTAGTTCCTGGCGAAATGAATTGGGGCCATGATATGAATAGTGCGAAGGGATTCGGGAGTGCCTTAAAGCGGTTAGCACCAAGGAATGAAGTAGATTTGTATCCTGCTTCAGGATGAAAAATGGGTGAAGAACGGGAATTACTGGCTTGCCCTCAGGTGACTCTCTCTCTCTCTCTCTCTCTCTCTCTCTCTCTCTCTCTCTCTCTCTCTCTCTCTCTCTCTCTCTCTCTCTCTCTCACACACACACATCATCTGGTTGCGACGTCAACAAAAACACTGGTCGGAAGATCCACTTTTCTGAGGTACTGTATGTGGGACTCCGTTTATTGAGGTGCGTTGAAATTTATTCTCTTTATCTTATTATTTCTTTTCTATAATTTCCCCATATGAGTTCCTATCAGTTGCTGTGAACACCTTGACTGGAGAGCGCTTGCTCGAGCGTTGAACCGGGTTCTTAATCCACCATACCCAGCTCGCAAGGCTGGGCGGGGTTGTGAGCAGGCTTTCATTTCATCTTTTCTTATTATTTCTTATTATTTCTGCTTTTGATCTCATTACAAAAATTCTGCGCTTTTTCTCCATCTGCGCATAAAATCTAGACTGACAACCTGCTTGTTAAATCATGCACCTGCTTTCAGGCGTAAAAACCCTGTTGTAGAGGTCTCAGTCCTCATTTGTTAGACTTACCTGTCTTTATAAATGTAACTTACTCTCTCTCTCTCTCTCTCTCTCTCTCTCTCTCTCTCTCTGTGCAAGTGCAGTCATGGCGAAGGGAGAACAACATTTAATCATACAGAAGTGAACTGCAGAGATTGTGGATGCAGCGAAACACGAAGAAAACGAAAAATGAAAAAAGGACTTAGTATATTACCTTGTGTCTACGCCAATTATGTGGTACCTCTCAGAAGGTCCTACTTATTTGGTCACTGATCACAACCCAGCCAGCATACTTTTCAGGAACCAAAATGTCCTTTTCATGCATATTGCAGCCGTAAATCACATTTTGTTTGGTTGAGTTGGGTAACTCCGCTCTTCTTCCTCGCTCACCGGAGGAATTTCTCTAGTCTCCTCGCGCAACTGGGGAGCACTCCAATGGAGAGAGAAAGATTTTCATAGAGCGGCTTGCTGTGAGAGGTGGACTGAGACTTGACGGCACTAACGGCGAATATCAAGACCTTACGGCCACGGAGCTGCGGGACTCTGCGCTGGTCGTCTATCCGTGTGGAGGCAAAGCAAACGCGCGGGCAACATTCCGCTGAAGCGAGCGGGGAGCTGAAGCTGGATTGGTGACTGACGTACCTGCTTACTCCACAACACCGGCGCATAATGATGTACAGTCAACTTCGCTTATAACGACACTCGGCGGGGCATCAAAAAGGTGTCCTTATTCGCGAAGTGTCGTTATACCCGAAGTCTCATTATATGTATTACAGTGGGATGGGACTTTGCCCTGGGCATGGAAATTCTGTCGTTATTCGCGAATTGTCGTTATATCCGATGTCGTTATTAGCGAAGTTGACTGTACATGTACAAGACTTTGTGCGTATTCAACTCAAAATTAGTTCGTGTTCCGTCAGTGTCAGCAAGTACATGTACAATTTGTTCTCAAAATAACTTCGGAACAGTCTGTTCATGGTTTTCATTTGTACATGATTGTATTGGACTCGTTCTCTACACTTGCGATAATTTAGCGGCAATTCTAATGTTGTAGCGTTGTTCTCTTGCAATTTAGTGGAACCTGTATTGAGTAACTGAGTTTTATGTTTCGTTACATTGTCGACAGATCTCCTGTGTACCGGTTTTGTGGCACAATGAATAGCCATTTGTCGTCTCCATTCTTGTGCAATCATGCATAATTATGTAGGTTGGTTCTCTTCATGTTATTGTGACCTATTTCATAGATGTTGGTTGCCTTGTTGCTTTCTCTCCCCTCTCCTCTCACCCAAGCCATTAGCGAAGCTGTGGACGCAGCATACTGCTGCTACACTTCAACGCGGGAATGCGTATAATAATGATAATAATAATAAATCACATTTTCTAATCCAGCACCCTCCCTGGATCCGGTAGAATTTTTCCTAAATCCTTAAATCCAGCAGAATTCCCCAAATCCAGGAGATTTTCCGTAGTACAAAATGGTTCCGGATTATATAGGGAGGGCTACTGGCCCACTGTACATGTGTAATAAATAAATTCCGTGTGACTTACTACCTGTTTCTATCGTTGGTTGCCGGTTGGCTGGTACATAACGAAATGTTCAATCTTCAAAGAATCTGTATATTTGGCTTGGTCAACTGTTCCTGACTAATATTAAAGGGGAAGTATACCCTAAAATCAAATTTTCACCAGTTGTAGTCTTCTGGGTGCTGAGTCGAATGGTCTTGGTCCGAGGAAGCTGCGACGCTCCCTTCCTACTTGAATCCCAATCGAACTCGCGCACTTCCACCGAAACTGGGTGACTGCGCCCTACTAGATGGGGATTTGTATGCAAAATGTCACTAAAAGCGCCATTTCGTTCTTATAAAAGCACGGATGACCGCGATTGGCCCATATGCTGTAGTCTTTTGGACGCTGAGTCGACTGGTTTTGGTCCGAAAAGGCTGCGATGCAGCGTTCCTCCTTTATTCCCAATCGAACATGGTTGAACAAGCGGTCACGTGCTCCTGGGTGCCCAAATCACCTGGTTACCGCGCCAGCAGGCGACAACTTTCACACCAAGGTTCAACTCGAGTTCAACTCGAGTGACAGGACTGCACCCAAAAAAGGTCAAACAGGCTAGTAAGTTGTACCCTACAGGCACGGTGACCAGGTGACTGGTGTACGCAGGAGCACGTGACCGCTTGTTCAACCATGTTCGATTGGGAATAAAGGAGGAACGCTGCATCGCAGCCTTTTCGGACCAAAACCAGTGGACTCAGCGTCCAAAAGACTACAACATATGGGCCAATCGCGGTCATCCGTGCTTTTATAAGAACGAAATGGCGCTTTTAGTGACATTTTGCATACAAATCCCCATCTAGTAGGGCGCAGTCACCCAGTTTCGGTGGAAGTGCGCGAGTTCGATTGGGATTCAAGTAGGAAGGGAGCATCGCAGCTTCCTCGGACCAAGACCATTCGACTCAGCACCCAGAAGACTACAACTGGTGAAAATTTGATTTAGGGTATACTTCCCCTTTAAGTAAAGAAAACCACCCGCAGAGTGCATTCTACCGACCAAAAGTGTAGGGTGGTGTGGGGCGGGTAGTCGGGTACATGAAGAGTACATACCTACGATCGTCTGCCTTGCAAGCAATATGATAATTATCCGTGACCAGTGTCCAGGGGTGTATCATCTTGCGGAGAAAGTAAAATGTTCCTTGCCCTAAGCATATGCAGCAGTGGTGGCCGAGTGGTTAAGGCGATTGACTCGAAATCAATAATTATTGGGCTCTGCCCGCACAGGTTCGAATCCTGTTCACTGCGATCTATTTTTTTTTGGTTTTCAAAAATATGAACAAGGAGAAAGAAGTCCTGGGCCTCTGGAGACGGATTTCAGAAGACGATTATCATTTTGAAAGCTATGGTCAAGACTCAACATCTTGCTATGGTGTGCTCGTGGAAGATCTGATGCGCGTTGCGTATCACCAGGTTCACTAGTTCATTCCTAGTTTTTGTGCCCCTGATGTAACCGTTAGTTCGGAGAGAGCTCTTGTCTTCTTGCAGTTCCACTTGATATCTACAGAGGCACACACCACACATCCATTTCTGAGGCTAGACTTTTGCTGAAACTCTGAGTTGAAACTGGCTCACATTCAGGACACCTCCTGTTAACCAAAACTGTTCGTCCAGACCAGTACGATAGGCGCAACGCTTTATTATGGGCTGAATGTCTGCGCAAACCTGAGTCACTCGGGTATACATGTTGCTCCATAGCCTACGACTGCAGAGAATTATCTACACTCAATCTCCGGAGAAATAGCCAGTGTTTCCGACACGACATGTACCCCCTACCCTTCTGCAGTCTCCCCCTTCTCGCAGAGGTATGCACACCTTCAAGAAAAATGTCAACGACCACTTGCGGCGCCGCACGTGGGAGTGGGCCACAGACAGGTTATGATCTCTCAATCTCAGCCAACACACCAGCCTAATTGTACTGACCACACTCCAGCTCCCTTCTACCCCTCTCTGATCCCCTTCGCTCAGCCTTAATGTGTATGCGATTATCAGTTTTCTCCATCTTCCTATTTCCACGGTGCACTGCTTTTATGATTGCTATGTCCTATCTCAATCTCAAATTCTCCCCATTATCGTTTGCAAAGCCGGTGCTCCCCTCTTGGATGCACATGTTCTTTTCTCCTGTGTATCAGCACACATGAGTAACGATGAATCCGAGACCATTGGTCGGAGGAGTTACTTTTGCCCCCCCCCCCCACACTTCGATCCATTATGCCACCGCCGCCGCTGTGCAGCATCTGATGGTTCTGTGGTATTCAGTAAAAATATTTTCCTGTAGAATTTTCCGGTCCTTTCTCATTCAGAAATGCAGAAACAACAGCCATCAGCAGGCCAAAAAGGCACTTGCTGAACTCTGATTGGCTGAGGCCGGTTGACCAATCATTTCAGGTGTGAAGTTCACAGCCAGCATAATTATGCTATAAAACTAATCATTCCAGGAGGGGATGGTTGGTTCGTAATGTAGAAACAACAGCCATCAGCAAGCCAAGAGAATAAACACTTGCTTCACTCTGATTGGCTGAGGCCTGTTGATCAATCATGTCAGGTGTGAAGTTCACAGCCAGCACAGGCTATAAAAGTAATCATTCCAGGAGTGGATGGGGTCGGGGTTTGTAATCATTCCAGGAGTGGATGGGGTCGGGGTTTGTAATCATTCCAGGAGGGAATGGTGGTCGGGGTTTGGGATGGCTTTTTCTCCTGTAGAATTTTCCGGTCCTTCCTCATGCAGAAATGCAGAAAGAAACAGCCATCAGCAAGCCAAGAATATGAACTCTGATTGGCTGAGGCCGGTTGACCAATCTTTTCAGGTGTGAAGTTCACATGTACCGGTATGTCTGTTGATCCAAAAGCCTCTTTTACGGGCAACAAAAATATCTATGTCTATTTAGCGGAGCTCAAAAGGACTGGTCGAACCGATCACGAACAACTAACAACGAACAGCAATTTTTTTTTAAATCGGCTCAAAGCATCAAATTCAGAGTGCTCTCATACTAGAGTCATAGCGAGAAATATACAGCTCTGACATTGAGCACTCCCTTGTAGCTACATGTATTATTATTATTATACTAGCTTTGCACGAAGTTTGACGCATACCCGACCCACTTCTCAACCATGTTCAGGCTAGGAAAGGGGGTGAGTGTTATACCCGTACTGAGAAAAGGGCTCTTTCGGAGCATAATAATAATTAGTGGTGTGCACGGGGAGTCGGGTACCAGTGCTACCCGTGAGGACCTCGGGTAGACGGGTACAGAGTTGTACCCGAAGACCCGAAGTAGCAGAAGACATCATGTACAGGGCATGTGTACGAATTAGGGGTGAAACGATTAGTTCGAATATTCGAGTATTCGTTCGAAAATCTCAAACGAGCGAGTATTCGAAATTTTGCACTCGATCGTTTTTTTTTTTTTTTTTTTTGGTACTGGCATTCTATTTTTCAAAAACTCCTGTTGTACTCCTCATCGACTGGGTATGCACGCATTATTCGTGCCTTTGAGTCAGTACTTTATGACTTGGACGATGCGATCACCACGGCAAGTAACGTTATTTTGTTTTGAGATAATGAAAGTACTGGTGAAAATCGTTACTTTACACTCTGTACAAGACGTTGGCGACTTTTGTTCTATGTTCACAGATAATTTCTTTCGAATTGGTCGAGAACTCACAAATCTAGCGCTTTTGAATTTCGATAAAATACTCGAAATAATCGGATACTCGATCGAATATTATGAATGAGTGATCGGTTGGTCAAAATAGATACTCGTTTCACCCCTAGTACGAATTCATGTAATACTCCGCATGGCTACCCAGTGTGTAAGGGAAGGAGTGCATTTTGGTGTTACAATGGAAACATTACCCGATCGGGTACCCGTGCTACCTGTGGAAAACTACCCGAACCCGATACCCGAAGAAAATGCTACCCGACTCAGCCCTAATAATAATTATAATTATAGCTGAACATGTTTGTATCAATGAGCCGCGCTGGCAACACTTCACCTTTTTCATGGCGCTTTATAGACAGCGTAACTGGGGAGCCTTTATGGAGGATTTCGTTTGTCAAATAAGACCATTAATTTTTAATGTTACTGTTAGCAGCTGCTTACTCTTACATCCTCCGCCATGCCATACTCTATACTCTATTACTCATCCGATCACATCTGACTGTAGACTCTACATGTTTTGGCCCCCACAGCTCGTACCTGCTGTCGCCTTTCTAATACCAGTACTAGCAGATTGCACAGGACCCCTGGCCCTAGTTCGTCCCTTGGGTCCCTGGCTGCTTGTCGATTGATCGGCATATGATATGGACCTGGGCTGCGTACTGCACTGGGATTTCTGACGCCATCGGATTCATGAGCGGTAGATCTACGGCAGTACGGGGCCGGGGGTGACTTGAGGCAGCGGCGTGAAAGCTGATACTTGATAGGGTCTTGGAATCTGAACTACTGGTGCAAGGCCACTGGGCCCATGGGTGCACTGTGCAGGTAGCGATAATGATTACCGGTATGCAGGCTTTCAACGTCATTGGCGACGGAGCAGTGCTCTGTCACTTCACAAGCCAGGTTGACTGACTTCTCGTCTCGACCATAACAGGCAAAGTGATGGGATGCGTTGCCGAGATGAGTTGCCGTCCTCCTGCGAAGAGAATTGCCACCAGCACCGGCTGCAGCAAAGGGTACGTTCACATCTACGTGTACAATCATGTACATGTACATGTACATGTAGTGGCATTCTGTTCCGTGATAGTATTCTTATTTTCCGATATTTCTTACGAAATAGTGGCTGCGACTTCGGCGATGATTTGTACGCCCGCGCCGGAGCTCGCGCTATTTTCTTACACACGATAAATCAAGATTAGTGTGACATGTCGTAGGCATGTGCGCAGACTCCGCAGAGGCAGGAAGATCATCGTACATGCAACGTAACTCGTTACGTAGTGCTACTATACTGACTAGCCTGTGCATGCGGCCCATAGCATAGGCATAAGCTTAGCTTACCATGTGGCTATGAAACGAGTTACGTGTCGGTGACTCATGAGTTTCATGACCACAACAGTTGAACCTGCAGCACTACCATGACTACGACTAGGCCTCCGCGGAATATGCTCGTATTTTTACCGATAATTCCTTTGAGCATTGCTCAAAATTACGTCCGATAATTCCCGTAATTCCACCAATAATTCTCACAGTAATGCTTTTTTTCTTCCCTTTTTTGCAGATACCGTACCGCTTACGGTTTTTTTTGCCACTTGTACGGGCAAAAAATCACGGTTCGCGTGAAACTCGCCTGGAAGCTTCTTTTTTTTCTCTTTTGAAATACCGGGCGATCAAATCATTCAGGATCACAAGCTTTTTGGTACAAATCAGGGTGTTAAAATGGAAAAAAAATTGAAAAAAGGGGCATTGCTCAAATTTTACCGATTATTCCACAAAAATTGCCAATAATTCCCCTTTTAAAAATCACACCGATAATTCCCGAAATTATGCCGGCATATTCCGCGGAGGCCTAACTACGACCCGACGCGAGTCAGATCAGAACTGCATTGGACGGATGTTATTAGTACGGTAGTAACGCACAGTCATAGGCGCATGCTGTATTCGGATATACAACCATGTACATTGTACATTGTAGTTCTACATGTACACTCTCACATACATGTACATGTATAGAGCATGCACATCTGCACAAACATATTATGTTAGTGCAGATGTGCATGCTCTTACACGTACACATTGGCGAAGCACTACCAAAATTCTCCCACTTTGAGTTTGACACAATCACGGATAAAAGTCTGCATACAGCATACAGGAACCATGAAACTGACACTTCAAGACCTACAATGTACTCAAACACAAAGACTGTGGCAATCGAACTCTGATCCCCGCATGCGATTAATGTGCACTTGAAACTCATGTTATGATTACGAAACCATGATGAGAGTTCATTCTTGTAGGCAGTATATTCTTTTACACAACCACGCTATAACCGATACGCACTGTAGTATCCGGAATGTCCAGACCTACATGTACCTGGCATGTACCTGGCATGTAGCTGGCATGTAGCTGGCATGTAGCTGGCATGTAGCTGGCATGTAGCTGGCATGTAGCTGGCTGGCAGTGAATGTAGTTCGCAAGGCGATCTCACACTCATACGATACATGTACTCCTGCCTGATTCATACTTCTGATATGCCGCATGACTGGATCATGACGCGCTCACTACGGTATACAGTACAATGCATACAATGTATTGTGCTTGTATGATGTAGTCACATGCATGGTCATCCAGCAGACTGGTGCCATTCTTTGTGATTGCTGACACTTGAGAATGTCCTGTGTGATGTGTTTGACAGATGAGGTTTGTGGTCGCCTGGCACTCAACACTAATGCATATGTGCAACATAACAAAACATGTTATCGTGCGCGGCCGTATGGCGCAGTGGTAATGCAGTTGATTTCGAAGTTGATTCTTTCGACTCAACATGTTGCGGGTTCGATTCCCGCCGATTACGGTCACGTACGTCTTTTCTTCTCTTTCTCATTCTCCTGGGTGGCAACCAACAGCCAATAGGTGCATATGCAACCACATACACATGTACACACGCGCATGCCACATCACCAATGCCAATAGACCATGCTTAACACCTACATGCAGAAGAAGACAATTAAATAAATGTCCTACCAGTACATAGTCCAGTAAATAATAAATACGCATAGGCAACACACCAACACCCCACTCCACAACACCCCACTCCACAATAGAAGAATACAAGTCTTTCAATGAGCCACATATCAGCGCCACCAATACACCAGAAACGAACATACGTGCCCACGCATGTACACACACGCGAACACGCAAAACTCACACACGCAGACACGCACACACAAACATAGCTTCTTCCCTGTAGTCGCTTCGGCGGCGGGTGGGCGTGTGTATGTGGTGTATGTGCATCTTATCCAGCTGTGGTGGCCGAGTGGTTAAGGCGATTGACTTAAGATCAATTGGGCACTGCCCGCGCAGGTTCGAATCCTGTCCACAGCGACATTTATTTTGCTGCAGGAAAAACAAAATGTACAGTCATGTAGTATCTGGATAGACGGGAGAAGTAGATTAACATGTACATGAATGGTATCATGGACGCTTGGAGCCGTGTATTGCAGTGCATGGACTCCCTGGACGCTTGGAGCCGTGTATTGCAGTACATGGACTCCCTGGACGCTTGGAGCCGTGTATTGCAGTGCATGGACTCCCTGGACGCTTGGAGCCGTGTATTGCAGTGCATGGACTCCCTGGACGCTTGGAGCCGTGTATTGCAGTACATGGACTCCCTGGACGCTTGGAGCCGTGTATTGCAGTACATGGACTCCCTGGACGCTTGGAGCCGTGTATTGCAGTGCATGGACTCCCTGGACGCTTGGAGCCGTGTATTGCAGTGCATGGACTCCCTGGACGCTTGGAGCCGTGTATTGCAGTACATGGACTCCCTGGACGCTTGGAGCCGTGTATTGCAGTACATGGACTCCCTGGACGCTTGGAGCCGTGTATTGCAGTACATGGACTCCCTGGACGCTTGGAGCCGTGTATTGCAGTACATGGACTCCCTGGACGCAGGTATTCCTAACAACATTTCCGCATTATCTTCGTTAGTCATTTTAAAAGCTTGTCCAGTTTTACTCGGGGCATGCATGGAACACACGAACAGTTCTAGATCATGGCCCCGAAGGAGAAGAGCTTACCAAGTTGAAGTACATGTACATGTATTTGCTTGGCCACTTCTCGTCCTAGCGGTGGGTTTAGTGTTCAAAAACACTCCGCGACACATCGCCGTCCTCAGCTACATGTATGTCAGACAGTCCACGTGTCCGTTGTGAGCGGCAACGTGAGCGACGGTAGCACCTCTACTGCTTTGGGATCGTGGCCCAGCAAGATATGAAGAGCCTCGAGATTTCCTATCTTGGCGGAAATATGTGCACAGGTGACGCCTGAAGGTGTGGTATCCTGCTGCGGAGCGGCACATCGACTGCTCAGTAGTCGCTTCAAGCACTCCGCATGCCGGTTGTTCACCGCCCCAATGAGACTGTTCGGCGAACTAACACACTCATCACACGGTTCTCCTGCTGGTACTAGCGTGGAACTGTTCGACCGGCTATTACTGAACGAAGCCTTCCGTGGCGAGCATTCGCCTCTGCTCGTCGTACAACTGTTGCATTGCGAAGTGTTGTTGCTGCTGTCCTCTACGTTCAGAAAGTCGTCGAGTTCGTTGAGTGTGTTGATGGCTGTGTGGCTGGTGTAGAGCGCCGAGGCTGGTTTAGCGGCTCCGAGCATGCTGTCTTGACCGTCTTGACTTTCAGGACTGGGTACTGCAGGCGGTGCGCGGTCGAACATCGCTGTGCTTCGAACAACACTGGACACCCGTTTCTCTTTCGAGAGGCACACGGATGAAGCGTTAGTACTATCAGGAAACACTCCGGTAAGAAGAGTTGTTCTCCAACACACTCTAATACACCTAGGTTACTAGGGACATTCAAACGAACTGACTTAGGCCAACTTTCTTCGGCAGGCGGACAATAATTAATTAATTATGGAAGACAAGACTCGACTGACGGAGACATGCACTGCATCCTATGGGTACGGCGGAATGACTGAACTGTCCCTGCCTCTCGTTGTGCTGATGTAATGATACTCGCGGTGGATCGTAGATCTACCCGCCAGGCCAGGGTCACTGGTGCTGAACACAGCACAGACAGGCACAATAATAAATAGATCGTCATCCCCTAGTCCTAGAATAGGCTAGATTCTGTCAACAACGTGGTCCGTGGCAGTTAACTTATCGCTAGCCTTGTCACCCCTCGCCTCAGTTATGCAGTCCGACTAGTCCACCTTTGCTTTGTGCTACAGTAAGATCGGGCGCCGAAGAACACCTCGCCGAAGAACACCCAGGCTGGAAAACCGGCAAAATTTAAGAACAGTCCAGGCTAGAATTATCAGATTTAAGAACACTTTTAAAATTTGGAATTTCCACATGAGTGCACTGATCATACATTGTACATGTATGGGAGGTGAGTACATGTACATGTCATGTACACGTGTAAACAGTAACTGCTACATGTACAGTCATTCCCATTTACGACACCCACTAGTTTAGAAGTACTACATTGCACTACATGTACATGTACATGTACATGTACATGACAAACGTCATGACGTCGTCACTCGACTCACCGCGCGCGTGTGAATAAGAACGGTCTGGCTAGAATCAAAAATTTAAGAACTTTCCTAGGCTGCGCTCCAGCCCCTGCGTTCTTCGGCGCCCGATCTTACTGTAGGCCAAGGAGACCAGCGGAGTGGATCTTACAACAAACGCCGGGTTTCGCCGGACCCACCGCAGATCCTCACGTCAGGCACCTTTCCACCACTGAATCATGTGTGATGAGAAGACTTCTCAAACTGGCCTGCCAAGTGTCAAGTCTCGCATCACACTTACCAGCCAATCCACCGCACGGTTACAACATGCGAAAACCACACGCAAACACACTGTACGAAAGTGTTGACGCACTAAGGGTTTCCAGATTATTCGCAAGAAATTGCGTATTATTGAGATACAAGATATTGTTCTCGAGCATCAAGATTCAAATCCAAAAAATGGTGCTATGCGAAAAATTTCTAAAAAATATTAAAAAAATCACTCAAAACCCGAAAATTATCTACCCGTTGCCATGGCAACGATGACGTAACATAATGCATGACAGCGCTGAGCTCAGATCAGAGGCCACGTGCACTGAAGTCGAAATTTTTTCAGGCCCTTCGTGGCACGTGATCGGTGCCTTTGGTCTAAAAAAGGTAGAATTTGGCAAAATTTTCCGGAAAATTGTCGAATTTGCGAAAAATCACGGAAAAACAGCAAAATTCGAAAAAATTCCAAAGATCCAGAAAACACCCCATTATTCAAAAAGATAATCTGGAAACCCCTATGACGCACAGCAGCGTAGATCCATCTGTTGCATAGCTCAGCTATCTAGCTGTCCCTGTTTCCATTCTGGATCACCAGCTCCTTTTAGCTACATGTATGCCAGTACATCAAAATCCGAGATATCTAGTGCACGGAATAATTATCATATGCGTGGAATCTACAACTGCACGCACGGATACTATTGCTTATCATGCTGGAGACGGCGGTGATGTCGTGGACACCAGTGCTTGACAACCGTAGACTATGTCGCCAGTCACATGAACTCTGTGCGTCACAGCAGCAACACGTGACACAGCAGCAACACGTGACAGCGAGAAGCATACCTAAACAGTACAGGACTGGGGGCAAGTAATACTAGTTTGAACTACTTTACTGAGTAGTCCCATTATGCTGGAACTCCTTGAAACATGTACGGTTTTCAGGACAAGGCCCGCTGGCGGTATTGCGATATGCTCCTGTTCTCGAATGTGATGTGACGCAGCCATGCTCAGGGCATAGGTCAGCTCAGTGGTTGTCAAGATTAGATATTTGACGACTTTAATAGCTACTGGAAGACTATAATACCCCTGGCGGGAATGGGGTGGGAATCCATATCCTTATCCTTCCAGAAAACATAATTGCAGCTAAATCTTACCCACAGTGGAAGCAAGTGATAGTTCAAAATCCGTGCTGCAGTTGGATAATGGCAGTAAGGTTGTGTACATCTCCAATCTGGCCATCTGTAGGCTCAGCCGCTCTGTTTGATGGTGAAATAGTAGTGGGAAAAGGCGTATCACTAGGCTTGTGTTTCGTCCTTGACCGTAAATCCGCCTCAGTGTGCATATACGAACGGATTCATTTTGAAAAGAAAAGTCCATCTGAGTATATTCCTTTTATTCTGGGGAATACATTATGAGGATGGCAACAAGCACCGTCACACCTGGGAGTAACACTGTTTGATTCTGTACCCGGGGAGTGTTTACCACCGAATCCATTTGCAAACTAGCTGTCGAATCCATTCCACTGAGCGTTCAATAATGGTTAAACCTGATGTTCGTATCTACTCACAACTCTTTAGCTCGCCTCAGCTTTAGGCAATGTCATGCAATATCACGCATCAAATAATCTCTCTCTCTCTCTCTCTCTCTCTCTCTTTCTCTCTCTCTCTCTCTCTCTCTCTCTCTCTCTCTCTCTCTTTCTCTCTCTCTCTCTCTCTCTCTCTCTCTCTGTGTGTGTGTGTGTGCAAGTGCAGTCATGGCGAAGGGAGAACAACATTTAATCATACAGAAGTGAACTGCAGAGATTGTGGATGCAGCGAAACACGAAGAAAAAGAAGAACAGACAAATATTACCTTGTGTCTCATGTACATGTATGTGGCACCTCTCAGAAGGTCCTACTTATCTGGTCACTGACCACAACCCAGCCATAGTAGGTACGCCTCGCGCATTTTTAAATGACGACTTGAACACGTACCGGTACAGCCGTCCCTCTTTAATCCAGTACCCTCTATAAACCAGCATAATTTTCAGGAACCAAAATGTCCTTTTCATGCACACTGCAGCCATAAATCACATTTTCTAATCCAGCACCCTCCCTGGATGCAGCAGAATTTCCCCCAAACTCCCCAAATCCAGCAGAATTTCCGTAGTACAAATGGTAGAATGAAGTTGAAGACACCACTGCAGCTGTACTTGTGGTTGATAAATATGGTGGTAAAGACACACCTGGCAAAATGGCGGTAAACACACGCCTGCCCACACACGCTCTCTAGGCTGCAAAGTTCTGGCACAGAGCTCTCCTTCTCACCACGACCACCATCAGTTCGCGCCTGGCGCCTGGTCGATGCATGGCTGGCGGTATCCGGCATAGCAGGCTGGTACATCAAGTAGCGCATGGCACATAGATGATGACACAGCAACGACATAGCTCGATTGCGACGTACGTTTCGTCCCCGCTGGACTCATCAGTGAGAAGGAGAGCTCTGTGCCAGAACTCAGTTGCAGCCTAGAGTGCGTGTGAGGGCAGGCGTGTGTTTACCGCCATATTGCCAGGTGTGCCTTTACCGCCATATTTATCAACCATAAGTACAAATGGTGCCGGATTATAAAGGGAGGACCCATGTACATACATTGTATGTGGTAAATTCCATGTGACTTACTACCTGTTTCTATCGTTGGTTGATTGGCTGGTACATAACGAAATGTTCAATTTTCAAAGAATCGGTATATTTGGCTTGGTCAACTGTTCCTGACTAATATCAAGTAAAGAAAACCACCCGCAGAGTGCATTCTACCGACCAAATGTGTTGGGTGGTGTGGGGCGGGTACATGTAGAGTGCATACCTACGATCGTCTGCTTGCAAGCAATATTATGACATTATCCGTGACTGTGCAGGGGTGTATCAACTTGCGGAGAAAGTAAAATGTTCCTTGCCCTAAGCATATCCAGCACTGGACTCCAGCACTGGACCAGCAGTGGTGGCCGAGTGGTTAAGGCGATTGACTCGAAATCAATTGGGCTCTGCCCGCACAGGTTCGAATCCTGTTCACTGCGATCCATTTATTTTTTTGGTTTTTCAAAATATGAACAAGGAGAAGTCCTGGGCCATTGGGGCCTCTGGAGACGGATTTCAGAAGACGATTATCATTTTTGTAGGCAATGGTGTTGACGATATGATGCGCGTTGCGTATCACCAGGTTCAATAGTTCATTATTACCGGCAAGGTTATGTGCTCCTGGTGTTACAGTTAGTTCGGAGAGAGCTCTTGTCTTCTTGCAGTTCCACTTGATATCTACTGAGGCGAACACCACACATCCATTTCTGAGACTAGACTTTTGCGCAGCTGCAACTTGAAACCAGGGAGACGACTCCCTGCTTGAAACTGCCTCACATTCAGGACACCAGGACACCTCCATTATATTGGCAGCTGCTTACTCTTACATACTCCGCCATGCCATACTCATCCGATCACATCTGACTGTACCTGTTTTGAAATTCCCCTCAGGTCGTACCTGCTGGCGCCTGACTAGCAGATTTTACAGGACCCCTGGCCTTTATTTCGTCCCTTGGGTCCCTGGCTGCTTGTCGATTGATCGGCATATGGACCGGGGCTGCGCACTGGGATTTCTGACGACATCGGATCCATGAGCGGTACGGGGGTGGCTTGAGCGGCGTGAAAGCTGATAGGGACTTGGATTGTTGGAATCTGAACTACTGTACTGGTACAAGGCCACTGGGTGCAGGTAGCGATAATGATTACCGGTATGCAGGCTTTCAACGTCATTGGCGAAGGAGCAGTGCTCTGTCACTTCACAAGCCAGGGTGGCTGACTTCTCGTTGTTGTTTTCTTGACCATAAAGAGGCAAAGTGAAGGGATGAGTTGCCATCCTCCTGCGAAGAGACCTGTCACTATCAGTTATCTAGTGGCATTGCTTGATAGTATCCAGACCTACAACTGCAGCTGGCTTTAGGGAAGGCATGATAGTTACCATGAGGTGCTCAACACAGTGACATGCAGCTCGGTCATTCCGCTAGTTCAGCAATGCAGGTCTCTGACATTACTTCTATGCGGCCTGCAAGCAGCACTGCTGAAGACCACACAACACTGTGTTGGAGACTGATAAGTGACGCAGACCTTTGGCGGAACCTATGATAATCATATCTCATTAGCTGTGCATGAAAGAGATGCCTTTCTTGGACTGGTGTCAGTGGAGATATCAGGCCGGGTGGCATTGTTCTTGACCACTTTATAAAATCTATGTACCGGTACTGGCAGTAGCTTTGCTCATTGGGGCCTATGCAAGAAGCTGCCCTGCTCGGCAGCTCCGTCTCCACGCCTGTAGACTGACAGTCTAGACGTACATTTTAAATGTAGTATGGCAGAATCTACCTGTCGTGTGTGATAACCAGTTTGACGTGTGTGTGTTCAGTGTCAGCCAGTACTACTAGCTTGTCACTTGCCTACTACATCACTTCTTCACATGACACCACCGTGTCCTGCAGTGGTGGCCGAGTGGTTAAGGCGATTGACTAGAAATCAATTGGGCTCTGCCCGCACAGGTTCGAATCCTGTTCACTGCGATCAGTTGTATTTTTTTTGTTTCTAGTGCACGGTATACAGACACATACCGGTACATCAACGTCAAAGAGTCTGGCTTGTACTCTTGGATCATACAGATACGGTACATGTAGATAACATTTCTTTCGCCTTTGGTCAGCCATAACTTCGTTTTTATAGTTATTTTTATTTTCTAAATCTTCGGACATGGAGGCATGTTGCAGGTGGGATCTAGGAGTGTAAGAAACGTTCTGCTTGGCTTGGTATAGACGTTCATAACTCTCGGTCAGGAATTAGTACTGCTTGAGACAGTTCTGTACATGTACTTGCGAAGAAAACCTTCATGTACATGTACATGCAGAATTCAGAACCGGGACACTAAATGGTCGAGGCACAAAATCTACTTCTTGGCTTTGGACCAGGGAGTCGTCAAATATTTGACGACTCCCTGCTTTGGACTGTTCTGCATCGGCAATCATGTTCCAATTTCCAACCACTTGTTTCAGTATGGCGTGCCTACTACTAGTACTCGTTTCAATTGCGTTCCAATACCGTGTCCTGCAGTGGTGGCCGAGTGGTTAAGGCGATTGACTAGAAATCAATTGGGCTCTGCCCGCACAGGTTCGAATCCTGTTCACTGCGATCCTTTTTTTCTTTTTCATTCCAAGCAGAGGTCATGGCATTTTCCACACACGGTATAGAAAAGCAAGAGTACATAAATCTTGATCATAGGTACAATCAAGAGTACTCTTGGTACAATCATGAATGATGATGATTGTATTATTTCCGGCACTACTCTTTTGGACTTGAACAGCGCCTGCGACAGACACTGAGCACGGCAATCAGTAGCCTTCCCAATTTTCTGAAGTATGAACAGTAGTTTCTCTACATATTATCTGTCTCTGAAAGACAAAATTGCTACACCGCCGTAACCATGGTAACTGCACACAGAAACACGGATACAGATAGTACTGTAGTGGAAGAATGTGAAAGTCTGTGAGGAAATGGCGCCCAGGAGCAACCTTTCAATACATTCAAGTCATATACCCATCTCCTTCTCCACGCTCTCTCTCTCTCTCTCTCTCTCTCCGAGTCTGTCTCTCTCTCTCTCTCTCCCTCTCCCATCTCTCTCTCTCTCTCCCATCTCTCTCTCTCTCTCTCTCTCTCCCTCCCTCTCTCCCATCTCTCTCTCTCTCTCTTTCTCCCCCGTAGTGCTCCCATGCAGCTGAAACGCCAAGCCAGTGGAGGTACTCAGGCGTCTACGTCACAACCACAATTCTTTCATGCATAACTCTTCTTTTGCATTTCATGTCTCGAATTAAAGTGGTGTTAACGTTAAAAGATGTAAGGGGTTAAAAGAAAACGCCACGTTTTCAGCAACTTCATCATTTTTCCTCCCGTTAGGTTTGCTGTGTAAGTTCAGTGCAGCCGTACACACAGTGATACCAGCTCTGCATAGAACGTTATGACCTTTGCAAGGTCTTGATAATCCCATAGCAATCAGCATAAGACTGCAAAATAAGACTGCAAATATGAGCAAAGAATGTGCACATCCTGTGCTGTGAGGAGTGATATGCATGACAGCATAGCACTATGACTTGAAGAAGGTCTCTGAACGACACATTGGCTAGTTGCCACTGTGCTGCTACATGGTAGCCTCATCCATATCCGTAGCTGTGTTTGTAGCGATGTCATCAGGTGCCACATTGCTAACATCATCCTCCTGGCGATAGTGTTGAGGTTCACTGCAGAAGTGAAAGGACAGTTTGCAATACAGTGTTAAACCTTACCAAGTACAGGCCCTCAATGCACAATCTCAACTGGGTAAGGTCGGCGTTCTTTGCAGAGTTCAATACCAATAGGGCTCAATATGGAGTAAGGAATCATGGCTTCCAGGAAATACTGCAGAATTGTACTTTCTTCTTCTCTCGTCTCCTTACTTGGTTTCTTGCTGCCTCACTCCTTGTTTTCTCTCTCTCTCTCTGCCTTTCTCTCCCTCTCTCTCTCTCCCTCTCTATCTATCTCTCTATCTATCTATCCATCTCCCTCTCTCTCCCCCTCTCTCTCCCCCTCTCTCTTCTCTCTCTCTCTCTCTCTCTCTCTCTCTCTCTCTTTCTCTCTCTCTTTCTCTCTCTCTCTCCGGCTCTCCCTCTCTCTCTCTCTCCCCTCTCTCTCTCTCTCTCTCTCTCTCTCTCTCTCTCTCTCTCTCTCTCTCTCTCTCTCTCTCTCTCTCTCTCTCTCTCTTCTACCTCTCTCTCTCTCTCTCTCTCTCTCTCTCTCTCTCTCTCTCTCTCTCTCTCTCTCTCTCTCTCTCTCTCTCTCTCTCTCTCTCTCTCTCCCTCTCACACTCTCCCACTATCCATCAATCTCTTTTTCCTTCTCCGCCCTTCTTCCTCGAATGTCTCTTATTCCATCCCCTTTTCTTTCAGAATAATGTTGAATTGAAGTTGAATGCATTTAGCAGCAAGTTGGCAAGTGACAGAATCTTAAACAGCTGGTGCAAGTAAGGAATGTTTATGATGATCATATCTGTTGCAGATATGAATTCATTGATCACACATTATATTATGTACACTCATACCTCGTTTATCAGGGCTGTCTGGGACCAGGCAATGCCCTGTGATTTTGAAATGTCTGTCACTCTGAACAGCATGTGTTTTGACAGGGAAAGGCCAGAGATATGGCATGTGATGTCAATATTTCGACTGAAAGTATACAAAAAAGTAGGAACATTTCCACTAGAATTCCCCCAAAGGGTGCCTGCCCAGTAGACTGAAGTTCCCGTAATTCGGTGTTGTGATAACTGAGGTGTGAGTATGAGTACACAAGTACACATCTATTCATTCTGAAATTTAAAGGCACTGCACAGTCAGACCTCGTTTATCCGGTCTTCTTTTATCCGGATCCCTCGCCATCCGGAAGAAAATAGCTTGTTACCGATCTACAGCATACTTGGTGCATCCAACATAACTGGTGTTCGGTTATACGGTTCCCTCGCCTATCCGGATATTTTTGTGGGAAACGGATGTGTGCGGTTAAACGAGGTCTGACTGTATTACTCTACGTCATGTAGAGTATCTACACGTACCCGTGCTGTTTGCTAGCCCGGTATGCTAGTATAGCCTTCACAATGATGTAGATGATAACGATGAGGAGTATGATGGCTATTGGCAGGGCTATACCAATGATCAGTGCTGTCCTGGATAGCCGTTTCTTTTTCTTCTCGCTCTCCGTTGCTAGTAACACAATTACATACATTTGAAGTTATGCACATCAATGCGTACACACCACATATACACACACACACACACACACACACACACACACACACACACACACACACACACATGCACACACATGCACATACACATGCACACATGCACATGCAGACAGACTGATGGATGACTGGGCGGATGAATGAATGGATAGACAAGATGGTATACAAACATGCATGTGTACACACATTCATACAAATATACAGACGGATGGAAGGACGGTCAGATGGACACACAGACATATGGACAGACAGATAGACATAATATTATACACAAAGAGACATGCGCATACATGTGCACACATACGTGCACAAAACTGCATGCGCAGAGTGACATATTGCGGTCTTCTTTCTGAGGAGTGCTATACTCCTACATGGGCAATATCATCTTTTTTTAGAAGAAAATCATCTTTAGTGCTAACTTGAAATATGAAGTACTACACTAGTTTTGACTGCTCTCGCTCGTGCACGACCCGCCAAATTTATTGACACAAAATGAGTTTTTTTGAAAACATAACTTTAGCCCCAGTGACACGCTCTCGTTTGCAAAGCCATATCAGTATACATTGTATGTTCACTGCCCCGGGCCCCGGAGTAGACCAACACCGGGATAGATGGCTGCTTGATGACCAGCTTAACATTAAACGTTTATCTCTAGCCCCACCACGACCATAACCACCACCACCAACTCCACCACCACCACCACCACCAACACCACCACCACCACCAACACCACCACCACCACCACCACCAACACCACTGTGTGCAAGATTCTACAGTGCCGGCAACTGAAATCCGACCCCCTGAGCAGTGCGTTCACATCGCAAAGACCCAACACGGGATAGTAAACCTACGGAATAGAGATCGCTAGCATGTGAACGGACCGCTCAGGGGTCGGATTTCAGTTGCTAGCACTGTAGTTTGACTAGACTTACTGGGAGACTGCACAGTGGGTGAATCTGGGGCTGCAACACCAGCGGCCGTGATGGGTTGTGCGGCAACTGCTGTTGGCGCATCGTCAGCCCGTGCACAGCAATCCTTGGAGAGCTGGACATCATCGATTGCTATATCACTTGTTAGAGATGCTTCAAGAACACCGTGGAATGACACCTGCACCAGTAGAGGTGTGGGCACAGATAATTCAAACATTTGAAGTAAAGTACAGTGTTTGCAGCCAATCAGTCCTGTGTGCATTCTTTCTTCTATCGTGCAAAATGAAGCCATTGTGCCATCATGTATCAGTGTTCTTACTGGCTTCCAGCTACAGTAAAACCTGTGACTAACGACCACCCCTTGGGGCCAGAGAAAGCGGTCTTTAGTGGCAGGTGGTCCTTAGTTAGAGGTTTGCTCCGCACAACCATATACGAATGTGAGACCGTCCGTGCCTGGCAAAGTGGTCTGTAGTACCAGGCTGGTCGCTAGTCACAGTGGTCTTTAGTTACAGGTTTAACTGCACTTCTCATATGACATAATTATTTGATTGTTGATCAATACTGAAGGTGTCAATGAAAGCCACTTTAGCACAGACATCAGAATGGTCGGTTACAACTCTGGGTTTCTACGCGGAGTGATCATCATGCAACGTGATGTTGCCTACCAGTCTTGCGACTGTTCTAGAGGGCTTCCAGGCATTGAGCACTGTTTTGACAAGTGAAATGTGCCTACTGACAGTCACTTAAAACAAATTATCTTGGCTAGTGTATCGCAAAGCAAGAAAATTTCATTTATTCCTGATAACCCTCCTCACACACACACACACACACACACACACACACACACACACACACACACACCTGACCTTAGACGCCCATCGCCGGAGGCGATGATAGCAATGCTACGGCAGAAGCCATAGCAACTTGTGCTGGGATTACACCATTCAACAGCTTGCAAGGCTGAAGAATTGACCGTCACTATTCAGCCTGGTCTACACCATACAGCTATTTGGAGTGACATTTTCTGGCCAGTGAATCCCTTTTTTTGGTCTTTTTTCATTTTTTTTTTCTTCTTTTTTTCATTTTTTTTCCCGCACACACATCACACCACATACTCCGGCATGCACTGGCTGTTGGTAACCACCCAGGAGAATGAAAGAAAAGTCAGGAAGAGTCTGAGAAAGAGAAGAAAGACGTGTGTGACCATAATCACACACACACACACACACACACACACACACACACACACACACACACACACACACACACACACACACACACACACACACACACACACACATCTTGCTGCAATGCACATGCCTGAACTCTCCACTGCAACATCATGCATACCAGTAATGTGTACGTGTTCGAGACCATGTACCCGGTACACTCACCGTAATGGTGGAGCCTTTGTGTTCTGACAAGTCAATGATAGCCCTGTACCACTGATTACCTTTGTCACCAGTCTCGTTGAAAACCATGACATCACTGTCACCAGTGCTGCCACCAACCACAGCTTTTACGTACACCTCCAAACTGCCCATCTTAGGTCCATTCATCATATACCTACAGAGATCGCAGAGAAGCAAGCATACACCGTGAATAAGCATACGTCAACACAATGCGTCTGTGAGACTGTAACGATTTATGAAAGTTCCCTCCAGAACTCTGGACACAAGCTCTCGAGAGCTGACACCGCGAATAGGATTGCTCCAAATTTGCTGATCGCACAATCATAATTTAGTGTCATTATAGGCTTCCCTCCAGATGCATGTGCAGTGACAAGGAGAAATTGGGTAAATACTCTCACAATATACCGGTACACCCATTCTCACACCAAATATGCCTTCTCGCACCAAACCTTCATTCTCCTGCAAACATACTAAAAGCAACAGTGCCATGCTTACCAGAACGTCAAGGAGCACTGCGGTGTGACAGTAGTTAAAGTCCATGGCGGTGAGGTCATCACAGCTGTGTCTCCCTTGGCCTTGATGGTACGGTAGTTGCTCTCCACGTACATGTAAGCACCTGGGCACAGGAAAAATGTGTACGTACATGTGCATGAAGTAGTCGATGATTGTTCATCCGATATCCCTAAACGCTGTACATTGACCTGATGCTTGCGAAATGCCGAAAGGATACTAAAAAATTGACCTGAAAACGATGTTTAGTGTTTTGCAGAGTTATGCGAACGAGCGTGTCAGCTTGGATGACTTTCTCCTAAATGAAACTGCAAGAAGCCTCACCCTAACTTTTCTATGATATGGTTCAAGAAAGAAAACCAAGTATGCCAATATCGATAATGCTCATAAGGCACCTGATTTCTCCTCTCCCATCTCCTCATTCGGGGTTTTTGCCTCATTCTCTTACCTTCCTATCTGTTGCCTCTCCCTTGTGTGGCACCCACGTTATGCACAAACAAATACACACATTGTGTGTATTTTGTGTGTGCATGTATGCATATGCATGTGTATATTATGTGTCTGTGTGTATATATGAGTGAGTATGTTTCGTTATCATTGCCTTCGGCAATGGGCAAGTGCAAGGTTCAAGGTATGTGTACCTGTATGTGTGTGTGTGTCTGTGTGTGTGTGCTTGCAAGCTGTTGAATGGTGTAATCCCAGCACAAGTTGCTATGTCTAACATAGCTATTCGCTATCATCGCTTCCGCGATGGGCATGTCTGAGGTATGAGGTGTGTGTGTGTGTGTGTGTGTGTGTGTGTGTGTGTGTGTGTGTGTGTGTGTGTGTGTGTGTGTGTGTGTGTGTGTGTGTGTGTCATCTTTCTATGCTTTTCCTGAACCTCTCTCCCAGCCCCATGTAGCCAGTTTAAGGCAGTGAGCAAGTACAGAAGAGGTATGTGGATGTCTGTGTCTGTGTGTTCATTCCATACCATTCCTTTCTCACCTTTTCCAGAGGTATGGTCCGCCCTGGGTCCGGTTTGAATACTGAGCACTGGGCCATAGTGACGTGTCCAATCCAGCATGTCAATGTTGCACTGTACGAAACCGTCCAGACCTTCATCAAATGTCGCCACACTGCTGCTGCAACCTGATGTTTCAAAGGCTGACACACACACACAAAGGAAGCAATTGAACACACTTTGGCTCGTACTGTTAAAGGGGAAGTATACCCTAAAATCAAATTTTCACCAGTTGTAGTCTTCTGGGTGCTGAGTCGAATGGTCTTGGTCCGAGGAAGCTGAGACGCTCCCTTCCTCCTTTATTCCCAATCGAACTCGCGCACTTCCACCGAAACTGGGTGACTGCGCCCTACTAGATGGGGATTTGTATGCAAAATGTCACTAAAAGCGCCATTTCGTTCTTATAAAAGCACGGATGACCACGATTGGCCCATATGATGTAGCCTTTTGGACGCTGAGTCGACTGGTTTTGGTCCGAAAAGGCTGCGATGCAGCGTTCCTCCTTTATTCCCAATCGAACATGGCTGAACAAGCGGTCACGTGCTCCTGCGTACACCAGTCAGCTGGTCACCGTGCCTGCAGGGTACAACTTACTAGCCTGTTTGACCTTTTTTGGGTGCAGTCCTGTCACTCGAGTTGAACTCGAGTTGAACCTTGGTGTGAAAGTTGTCGCCTGCTGGCGCGGTGACCAGGTGATTTGGGCACCCAGGAGCACGTGACCGCTTGTTCAACCATGTTCGATTGGGAATAAAGGAGGAACGCTGCATCGCAGCCTTTTCGGACCAAAACCAGTGGACTCAGCGTCCAAAAGACTACAACATATGGGCCAATCGCCGTCATTTGTGCTTTTATAAGAACGAAATGGCGCTTTTAGTGACATTTTGCATACAAATCCCCATCTAGTAGGGCGCAGTCACCCAGTTTCGGTGGAAGTGCGCGAGTTCGATTGGGATTCAAGTAGGAAGGGAGCGTCGCAGCTTCCTCGGACCAAGACCATTCGACTCAGCACCCAGAAGACTACAACTGGTGAAAATTTGATTTTAGGGTATACTTCCCCTTTAAGTGAGAAACGTTTGCTAGAGATTAAAAATCGCCTCGAATTGCTCCGTACACTGATTATAGACAGTACAAGATCCAAATGAAGGGATAAAATCGCGAAAGTTTCTTATCATGAACCAGTGCACCACTGCACCAGTGCAGCTCTTGAAAATGAAAAGTTGATCGCTTTACAGTAAGTCCTAGGATGAGGATTGGCAATGTTCCTTCACACAATTTCATACCCATAGAAGCGAACAGCAACGAGTATGCATACCGAAATACCGTGTATTAAAGCCGGGCTTATTCCAGCTGTAGAAGGCGTTGCCAGTGCTAGGCTTCTATTCAATTAAGTCTGGCTTCTATTCGATCCAGGTGTTTCTTTGTATGATCACACTAAAACCAGGCTTATGTGCCACATTGCACCTTGATAATCAGACGTTTATTCCAAACAAGACTGTATGGTATCTGCCGCAACATTATACAGTGGAAATCAGATAAGACGTCCCCTCGTGGGCAGCGGGAAAGCATACTGTGTATCCGAGGTAGTTCTTATCCCAGCATACTCAGTCAGTATGATTCAAAACAATTGTGATCAGCTGGGACAAAGTCGGTACTGAGCAAGAGTTCAGTATTTCCCCGATTATAGGTCGCACTCAATTATAAGTCATACCCCCATTTCCAGGTCTATGTCATTATCGTTTCGATATATTCACTTCAGTAGTAAGCATGCTCGATTGTAAGTCACACCCCCTGTTGTTGGCCCTGGAGTTTAGTGTAAGAAGGTTAAAGACTTGTATTCGGGGAAAAACGGTATGTCTCAACAGAGTACGCACTAATGGCGAGTTTCACTGTAGTTAAACTATGGGAAGTTCAGCAGCCTCAGTGTCACATTGCACATAATTGTTGTAGACTGGACAAGCATGGGAGTGGGAAGCATTGGAGAACTGCGGAATAGTGCTGGGATATGGATTTATAGTTGAAGTTTTAGCCCTGTAATAGTTTCAGGACACTGGTCTTGGCATACGAAATTGCTCATTTATAATGTTCATGAACGTCTCCTGGAGTGCATTGCAGGGTTGTCTTACCTTCTCTGAGGCAACAACCACTGTTGAGCTGTACTGATGATATGGCTGCAATACCAAATGGTGTACACACCCCTGGACCGCATACACCTTCAAATGCAACCTGCACACAAGTATACACATCGACACGTGCACGCACACACACACACACACACACACACACACACACACACACACACACACAGACACACACACACACATCATTGGACCATTGGACGCCCATCGCCGGAGGCGATGATAGCGATGCTACAGCAGAAGCCATAGCAGCTTGTGCTGGGATTGCACCATTCAACAGCTTGCAAGGCTGAAGAATTGACCGCCACTATTCAGCATGGTCTACACCACACAGCTATGAAGTGGCTTTTTCTGGCCAGTGAATCCCTACTTTTTGGTCTTTTTTCTTTTTTTTTCACACACACATCACACCACATACTCCGGCATGCACTGGCTGTTGGTAACCACCCAGGAGAATGAAAGAAAAGTCAGGAGGAATCTGAGGAGTCACACACACACACACACACACACACACACACACACACACACACACACACACACACACACACCTCAGACCTCAGACATGCCCATCGCGGAAGCGATGATAGCGAACAGCTATGTTAGACATAGCAACTTGTGCTGGGAATACACCATTCAACAGCTTGCAAGGCTGATGAATTGACCGCCACTATTTTTAGCCTGGTATCCACCACACAGCTGTTTGAAGCGACTTTTTCTGGCCAGTGAATCCCTATTTTTCAGTTTTCCATTTTTCCATTTTTTCCATTTTTTCTTTTTTCTACACACACACACCACCCCACATACTTCGGCATACACTGGCTGTTGGTAACCACCCAGGAGAATGAAAGAAAAGTCATGAAGAGTCCGAGAAAGAGAAGAAAGACGTGTTTGACCATAATCGTCGGGAATTGAACCCGCAACCTCTCGATTGGAAATCGACTGCACATACCACTGCACCATATGACACCTTTGACCTTGACCTTTGACGCCCATCGCCGGAGGCGATGATAGCAATGCTACGGCAGAAGCCATAGCAACTTGTGCTGGGATTACACCATTCAACAGCTTGCAAGGCTGAAGAATTGACCGTCACTATTCAGCCTGGTCTACACCATACAGCTATTTGGAGTGACATTTTCTGGCCAGTGAATCCCTATTTTTGGTCTTTTCCTTTTTTTTTTTTTTTTTTTTTTTCCCCGCACACACATCACACCACATACTCCGGCATGCACTGGCTGTTGGTAACCACCCAGGAGAATGAAAGAAAAGTCAGGAAGAGTCTGAGAAAGAGAAGAAAGACCATATGACACACACACACACACACACACACACACACACACACACACACACACACACTCACACATGCACACACACACACACACACACACACACACTCACACATGCACACACACACACACACACACACACACAAGCACACACACACACACTCACACATGCACACACACACACACACACACACACACACACACACACACACACTCACACATGCACACACACACACACACACACACACACACACAAGCACACACACACACACACTCACACATGCACACACACACACACTCACACATGCACACACACACACACACACACACACACACACACACACACACACACACACACACACACACACACACACACACACATAGTACATTGCAATCCCAGGGCGAGAGATGATCTGCACCCAGACTTGTGATGAGTGAACTGAAATTTATCGAATAATCACACAAACAATAATCACACTTGCTTTCGCTATAAAAGGCCAGGTTTACCCTTGTAGCTCGTTCTGATAATGGTTGACTGGCCCGAAACGTCATAATTTTTGACATCACAATAAAGAATTTTTCATCCAGCACATGCGCCGATTGTGAATAGCAACTGAATAGAGCGGTTGTCAGCTGACAAACCCCCTTTTCTTTATAATGCAGTTGCGTGATGTCCACCACATTCTTAGTGGATGCGAATAACGTTACTGAATGAACAATAAAACAGCTACAGTCAACTTCACTAATAACGACTGCGAATATAACGACAATTTGATAATAACGACAGAATTTCCATGCCCAGAGCAAAGTCCCATCTAACTGAAATACATAAAATGAGACTTCGGGTATAAGGACACTTCGCGAATAACGACACTTTTCTGATGCCCCGCCGAGTGTCGATATACGCAAAGTTGACTGTAGATTGGAATAATTCAAACAGTAGTTTGGAGGCGGTCAAACTACTTTCGCAATCCATTCCTTCGCATGCAAAGTTGCAAATCCACAATGTTTGATAGATGAAAGGATGTGTCTACTTGATCGTGTGGATTTGCGTCTTTGCATGCGAAGTAATAGATTGCGAAAGTAGATAAGAACAACCTACTACTAGTATTCCCATTTGTATCATTTGGTCAACAAGTACACATCAATCCAAAAAAGGCTGCATTTTTTTAGAATAACCCCAATATGCACCTCTAAAGTACAGATTTGCATGGCCCCCACAGGTGCGCTTTACGAGAAGACAGAAGCCGGTCCATACCATGAATGGTTGATCCAGTGGACGTTCGTTCAAACTGATGCTAGCGCGCTTCCAATTGTTACCTAGCTGCACTGAAGGTGGCGAGTTGACTGAATCCACACTGTTGTCAGAGGCCCAGGCCACGTGCTGACGGTCAAAGAGACCTTCAAACGAGTCCTAGATAGCACAAGATCGGTTTGTAAATTCATGTATGCACAGACACAGCACGGCACACGGGTATGTTTGTAACGGTGCTGAAATACATGTACAGACGGCAAGCGTATACATATCTACTCAAGTGATGTGGCTAATGACACACACACGCACACGCACACGCACACACACACACACACGCGCGCGCGCGCACACACGCACACATACATACATACATACATACATACATACATACATACATACATACATACACACACATACACACTGTACTTGTTGCTCACTGCCAAAACTGGTCACATGAGTCCCCCCGGGAGAGGGGAGAGAGACTCAAAAGGAATCTTAGAAAGATGACTCAATTGGTTATTGAACCACCCAACGGCCGACACCCCCTGAAATCCCCAAAACTCTGGGTGGACTTGAAAATGATCCCACTTATGGGCTCACCACACCTCAGTAAGTGGGTGAGGACAAGGTGCAGAAAAAGGATTGACGGCATCAGGTATCCATCCCGGGATCCAACTGCAGTTACCCCTGCCCCCAGTGAAGGTAATATTTGCTACTAGTGTGAGTGGCTAAATCAGAGTGGATCTGATAAAAGCTTCACTAGCACCATTGATTACACAAGAGTTAATCTAGCCAGAAGCAGTCCATGGTTAACAGGTATGTATACTTCAAATAGAAAGTATATGAACCCTGGAACCAACAAAGGTGGCAGGTACAACATTACACCTTCAAACAGCCGAGCCTGTTGGCAACAGACCCAACACAATCAGGCATAAGTGTACCTACCAGCCGAACTAGCTGGCACACACACACACATACATACACACACGCACAAGCACACACACACACACACATACACACATACATATACACACACATACATATATACACACACACATACATATATACACACCTTTTGACCTTTGACGCCCATCGCCGGAGGCGATGATAGCAATGCTACGGCAGAAGCCATAGCAACTTGTGCTGGGATTACACCATTCAACAGCTTGCAAGGCTGAAGAATTGACCGTCACTATTCAGCCTGGTCTACACCATACAGCTATTTGGAGTGACATTTTCTGGCCAGTGAATCCCTTTTTTGGTCTTTTTAATTTTTTTTTTTTTTTTTTTTTTTTTTTTGTCCCGCACACACATCACACCACATACTCCGGCATGCACTGGCTGTTGGTAACCACCCAGGAGAATGAAAGAAAAGTCAGGAAGAGTCTGAGAAAGAGAAGAAAGACGTGTGTGACCATAATCGTCGGGAATCGAACCCGCAATCTATCGATTGGAAATCGCTGCACATACCACTGCACCATATGGGACACACCCATATGGTGCAGTGGTATGTGCAGCGATTTCCAATCGATAGATTGCGGGTTCGATTCCCGACGATTATGGTCACACACGTCTTTCTTCTCTTTCTCAGACTCTTCCTGACTTTTCTTTCATTCTCCTGGGTGGTTACCAACAGCATACACACACATACATATATACACACACACACGCAAGCACACTCTACAACCATACTCACGAGTCATGCCGCCTCACCTTAACACGTCCGCTGTGAACAGAAGCTCTGATCAATGCACCCCGGGTGAAGTAATCAAACTCCAGATAGCATGTACCCAGGACAGAGTCTAGCCCTGGAGTGCCAAACACCTGACTATTGTACAGCGGAGACACAAGCAGTGCAGCATCACCAGCAGCATACGGCTTCCTGAACCGCGCATATGTATACGGATCGGAACCCCCTGTACAATACCGAAACAGAAGAGTAGCAAGATGCAAGAGAGATTACTGTGCTGTTGCAATGTAACGTCAGTGCCAGGCGCGTGCCCCGTATGGGTTCCTGGGTGCCCGGAACCCCCCCTTTTTTCACTCAAAATGCAGGATTTTGCTTCATTTTTTGAAAATGTTCCCGAGGGAGGCCCCCCCAGACCCCCCCCTTGAAGGGCACCGGCGCACGCGCCTGAGTACTGCAGTGGAACTCACCTACATGGATTACATACTCTCAGTCCGTGACTAAGCCATACCATTGCTTAACAGTTGTAGTACGCAGATTGTCCGGAGCACGGGTGTATTGATTCATATTGACATATTAGTTCTGGGGATTGTAAGTACTTGTACCCGTCAGGGTAAAAAGTATGCTCTCCTGCTTTCCATGGGGTTAACCAAATTAAGCCAGTGTCAAGTGAGAATTCAAGTCGGCAGGAAAACCGCGAGCTCCCATGGAGGGAGCAACATACTCTTCCCCTACTATCGCCGAAGTCGCACCAACCTCTTCTTCACATTATAGCCAATGTTGTCAGCGTGTCCATTTCTCGTGCTGGCCAGCTGGTATCCAAGCCTTTGTGCACTCTCGGCAACCCATGCTGGCTAAGCAGACCCCATCCTGACACTTTGGAGCTGTGCAGCCATGGGTAGCACGTGTGTCCTCCGACGGCCGACTTACAGCTTGAGGTCACGCAGTTGTCAAGAACAAGTGGTCTAAACAAGGGTCCATCGCCGTATATGGTATCATTATCCCGGCGTGGACCTACAGGTACATTTATTTGAAGGTCCTGTCCTGCTTGATGACACCCATCCTACTACTGATGTCCAGGCATGTAGCCTGCATGGGGCACGGGGAGGGGGGGGGCACGGGGAGGGGGGGCACATGCACCCCCTAAATATTTCCACCTCGATTCAGCATGTGCATAATGACTAGCATGAACATATTGACCTAGACGACATGCGCCAGCCATCCTACACGCATCATACAGCTAGCAGCCATGCCCCCCTCCCCTAAGAGGGGGCCAGCCACACCCCTGTGATGTCTGATGTGTTACAGCCTGGCACTGTGTAATAGGCCTTGGCGGATTCTGCTCGAAAAACGGCAGATCCCCCCGGAAAAGCAGTGAAAAGAACCATACAAAGCTTCTTTTTGGGGGGGGGGGGCAATTCCTCCAATTCTGCTCCTCTTCTAGATCCATAATAATACCAAACGTGCATGAGACATACGAGAAGCAGTAACAAAGTTAATCTAATTAAATTCGCCAATTATTCCACTGGCATCGTCCACCGAGGGCTCAGAGACGGTGTAGCCCTAGCAGTAGTACAAACACGGTGTGTTGGACATTGCCGAATAGGCCTTGACGGATTATGCTAGCATAATTTTTCGCATAATTCCCACCAGAATCGAATAATCGCATAATTCGAGGCAAATTGCATACGAATCGCATAAAATTGTAATAATCCGCCTGTTCGCATCAAATTCCATACAGTTGTACATGTTCTACAAGTACAAGTACAAGTAGATGCACTAGGAAGTTGTAGGTTTACGACTCCCTTGATGATATGTCCAGTCCACTACAATCAGTGATGGTCGTAGCCAGGTCGGACGATGCGTTGACCCCGTTGAACTTTTGCTACTACAGTACAACGCCCTCTACAAAAAAATTCCCTTGTTATTTTGCACAGAACCATTTTGCATTAGCAGCATATGTGAGCATAATGCGGCATAATATGGTAACTTTTAGCATAAAAATAGCATAATTCTGCAATTTTTTCAGCAATGCGAAAAGCATAATTTCACGAAAATATTAGCATAATCCGTCAAGGCCTATTGCCGAATGTAGGCCGGCACTGAAGTGACCATGGTCACGGTCCCACTGAGTGACCAGACTGAGTCCGTGGAGCACTCTTGTACAGTGTTATCTTGGTCCAGCATGCAGCATCACACACTCCAGGTATCGTTTGGCTGGATTGGTCCGCCATGCAACAACATACACTGCAGGTATCAGGTACCTTATCTCTAAGCCTGCTGCTGATCAGATACAGTACTGAGTATACTATTACCATGATTACTACCTCCGAGGTATGATCTGAGAAAGACTTTCGAAGTCGGCAGACTCTTACAGTAGCAGCCAATGCAGAGTCTGCATTGAACCAGCAGCACTACTTCAAGTACTTATAAAATAATTTGTAAACATTGCATGAGTCATGGCAATCATATTGGCATACTAATACTGATACTGATTGTCTCTGATACACCAGCTGTCTGATAGTATCCTCTACTTGCAGTGGTAACTAATTACTTCCTGGTCTCAGGTGCGAATTGCCTCACTTCAAACAGTCCGAGTATTTTCACGCATGCTACGACTAGCAGGCCCTGACAATTGCCACTGGTAACTATGGCTTCAGTTGCGTAGTGAGAGTTTGCACGTCACAGTAACATGAAATTGTGCATGTGACATTGCCATCATGTCAGGGCCTTAGCATCAGGATTTCAGGTGGTCCCGCCTGATGTAATGGGATACTTGACCGGAAATGAACAGAATTGGGGAAAATCCCCATTGGGTGGGTCAACATTTTCTAAACGAGGTCCGGCCATAGTACCCAGCGTACTGATCTACAATGTAGAATGTAGAAAACTAGACGGGATGTGGATGTGGATGACACTGACAGTGTGACAAACACAATCACGAACACACACAGACACACAACTGACAAGCTCAGCACTGACACATAATCGAGAACACACACGTACATGTATACACACACACACACAGCCTCACACGCGCAAACCGTGACAGTCGCACACACACGCGTACGCGCGCGCTCAGGCACGTACACGAGTAAACTAGAATCGTAGATCAACTCTTTAGCTTTGTGCAATAATATTATCAGTCAGCCAGGAGAGTACGTATTGCGGCATACTATGTGTATGTGCATGTGTGCAGATCAGTAAAGGTAACACGTCTCACTCACCAGCCGGCACCATCGGTCTGTACAAAGATGACAGGTACCAGTTTCGATGATCGTGACCGCCGTGTGTCTGCGCGAAACCGTGAAAGTGTGACGAAAAGTCGATGCGACTGTCGCAGCTAGGGTGACGGGGCAGCGACGGCGGTGGCGGGAGGCCGAGGTTCGGTGGTGGCAGGTTCAGTGACGGAACTGGCGCTGGCAGGGCCTGGCCAGTGCCACTGCTCGGTGGCTGCTCTGCTGGACTTGGCGGACGTGCAGGAAGAACTACCGGAGCTCCGTCAGCGGCATTCGCCAAGGCAGAATTCAGTAAGAGGACAATGAAAACAGCAGCAGTACCAATAGATGGTGTATACTGAACTGTGAGGCAAGAGGTACGAAACGACTCCATTGCAACTCTACGTTCTCGTTTGGCTTGGCAAAGAACTCAGCCAGAGTGTTGTCGTTTCTGCAATGGAAAAGAAACTGGAGCAGGGTGCAGTACAACATGTATTGCAGGTTTCTTTTCGAGTGTTGCAGGCGAGCATGTTGCTAAAAGCCTGCTGCTGTTCATGCTTCGCTACCGTGCAGTAGGCGAATGAATTATTTACGGGAGACCTTGTCCTGCGGTGCGAGCTTCCCGAATGGACGAGTTATTGCAAGGCCCCAGTGAAGTACTCAACGTTTGCTGCCTGTGCTACGCGGGCTCGACGACGATGCGAGAATAGGCACGAAGGGGAGATTTGGGAGCGGCCAGCCTGGCCTAGTACAACCGCTAGTAAGTACAAAGGCCTTATGTTGTTCAGCAACAGAATTGTGCACGAAGCAGTGTGGTACAAGAAATCGAAGAAATTACCTGAAGTGCGAAACTTATGTGGCTCCAACTGGGTACTGTACTTCAGCGAACTTCCAAGACAGTGATTGTATGGACCACAGTGGTGTAGCATGGAAGCCTCTTGAAAAACGAACGACGGGAAATGAGTCTTTCCGCCTTCGACCCCCACACTTTGCTCTGTATAATAATTAAATTGTGTAAGTGCAGCATACAGCTAGTCGCCCAATGTGCTGATGACAGGGTCGCTAACTCTAGTCCTGTAAAATTTATGAGGATTCTGGAATGTAACTAGCCTGAAGAAGTGAGAGCAGGGGGGGGGGGGGGGGGGCAGCCTCAAGCCTTGAGCATGTTTGCTCTATCCGTCATCATGGTCATGGAGTATGTCCTGGCATTATTTCCGCAACTAATTGTCATCTCCCCGCACAAGCACATTGGTCTACAATACATGCATGTAGTTTCAGTAGTCTTATCTTTGAGGTGGAGAGTGTGCACTGGTACCATGGTGCCATATGCACCAATATTTTGAGCATGAAAAGTGGTGAGGGCTGCTACTACACCCTGGCACCTAGCAGTACAAGAACATTTACAACTAGATTTTGAGTGTCCGGAGAAGATTTATCTTTAGAATGAAAAGAGAAATACGTCCGGTAGAAAGTGGACGGATACAAGAAATCCGATCACGCGCAGAATGCAGTGCAGAATCCTGCCTACTCGAGGACTTCAATAGTGCTTGACTTCGAGACCAGACGATCATGATGTTCAAACTCTATGGACATGGAGCTGATAGGCTGGGTCAGTGCTGGCCATTCCCTGCAAGCACTCTAACACCACTATTCACCTGCCCAGTGGTCTCTTTGCTGCTATAGTCTTCTTCAAACACTGGGTTGGGAGACCGGGATGATTGGAGGAAGGTGGTAGGCTGTTGAATGGATCAATGCTTGTAAGAGAGCTCTTGGCCCATTGTATAAGCGGCAGAGCAGCACTGGTGGAAGCAGTTTTTGATTAGTCTGACCATACCGTAACCGTTCATACTTTGTGAATGATACACAACCATGACCTCTTGAGCAGCAAACAGGAATTGGTGGTCGAAACGTTGGTCTGGCCGTGGTCTAACCAACTAGACCAGTTCCGAGCCGCCGTCCCTGCGGAGTTAGAGTCTGCACACAATGAGCAGGTAAAAGGGGTTAGTCCTATTGATGCATCCTCATTGTTAGGTGCTGCATCGGGAGTATTTCAGGTGGCAGCAGCTTTTGGAGTTCCTTTGGGGTCAGTGACGAACAAATTTCTTTGATTGTTTCTCGTCTCATTCTCTGCTTGTCATCTTCAGGGCTATCCAAAGTAACAGCGGTCAAGATGCCCTGAGGAGAAGATACACAGTAGCTGGTCACAGATGGTCGCCAGTCAAGGCTGACAACGGTGCACGTTTGTCAATAGTGTGGCTGGACTTGCCGGGAATGCCGGAGAGAGAAAATGCATCCACTACGCACGGACCAGCTCCCACCACTCGTCATGCTCCATTCTACGCAAACCTACTCGTATAACAGAGAGGTTCCAGGCTGTCCAAGAGAGTGCTCAATACCGAGAGGTAGAGCTGGTTCAAACAATAGGAGGACAGAGAGAGTTCAAACCTACTCGTATACAGAGTTCAGCGTATCCCCAGGCGCCCTTCACAACTCGCCAATGCCAGTGAGCAGAGCACGGTGCACACGCTGAGCGACGCTGCATTACGACACGGTCACCCGTCACCGCAAGACCAGGAGACATTACATGGACTTGTTTATGTGAATCTCGGATCATGGTATATTCCACGAAGTTAGTGCGACCATGGCAACTTGTCAAAGTACAGCTAGCATGTGGTGACCTGTTATCACCGGAATGATTATCCTGACGTTATTGTATGCCAACTTCCTCTGCTAATTTTCAAGTAGCACTATTGTGGTAGGTCGTTGGGGGGTTCCCCTTGCCCTGTTGATCTGGTTCCTGCTGCCTGCTACGTTATTGGCACTCACCTTCCACACTGTATGCATGACTAAAATATGTGTTGGTGCCGAACACTTCCTTACAAACGATGCATACCAGGCCTGATGCCCTGGCCTGAATGTGGTACTGTGATCTGAGTATGCTACAGGCTTCTCTATTCTCTCACTAACCCCCATCCTTCTCTCTCTATCTCTCTGTCTCTCTAGCTCTCTAGCTCTGTTTCTGTCTCTGTCTTTCTCTCTCTGTCTCTGTCTCTCTCTCTCTCCTTCTCTCTGTCTCTGCCTCTGCATCTTTCTCTCTCTGTGTCTCTGCCTCTGCATCTCTCTCTCTCTCTCTCTCTCTCTCTCTCTCTCTCTCTCTCTCTCTCTCTCTCTCTCTCTCTCTCTCTCCCCCCCCAATTCTCTCTCTCCAAATCTCTCCCCTCCCTCTCTTCTCTCTCTGTCTCTCTCTCTCTCTCTCTCTCTCTCTCTCTCTCTCTCTCTCTCTCTCTCTCTCTCTCTCTCTCTCTCTCTCTCTCTCTCTCCAAATCTATCTCTCCAATTCTCTCCCCCCCCCCCCTTCTCTCTCTCTCTCTCTCTCTCTCCCAAATCTATCTCTCCAATTCTCTCCCCCCCCCCCTTCTCTCTCTCTCTCTCTCTCTCTCTCTCTCTCTCTCTCTCTCTCTCTCTCTCTCTCTCTCTCTCTCCAGACTCCTCTCTTCCTTCTAGATCTGTCCACATCTTTTAATCCTTTTTAAAGCATGCTCGAGTTGTCTGTGCAAAACTCTTTTACCAAGTGCTTCCTGATGCTGTTTGATTACTAGCCCATTGATTTAGTCGATTCCCATGATCACAGTGTTGGCTTGTTTATGGGAAACATTCAAATACTACCTCGGTTCCCTAACTAACAGATGGGAACAGTTTGGTCTAACGGAAAAGACATATGCTTGAGAAGTTGTGACGTGGGGTACGAGTCCTGGATAGGGGAAGAAAAAAAAGCTGTGCACCTCTGCTCACTAGCATTGGTGAGTTGTGAAGGGCGCCTGAGGATATGCTGAACTCTGTATACGAGTAGGTTTGTGTTGAGTATGCAGTAAGGTGTTTGCATTCTCAACGGATGGACTAAACTGGGTCAATGAAAAACACATGGTGGGCATGAGTGCCTGGAGAAAATGCTGTAGGGTTAATTTTTTGGTTTTGCCGCAGGCCTTTTCAGCTGGAATTGCAGGTGATGCCCTCTACACCTCCACCCCTGCGTCCCATGCCCAAGGTCGCTCCCATGCCCCAGGTCACTCCCATGCCCCAGGTCGGCCTTGCAGACCCACCACGCCCTGTCACCAGGGGGTGGATTGGTCAGTCAGTGGTCACTTGAGGCCACTAGCCAGCTCATCTTGCAGCTAATTTTTTTCGCTGCTGTGACCCCACCTTCCACCCTTTTCGGTGGATTGGATATATAGAATTTCTTGGTGCAGTGTCAACATTCCCAACTTCCGTTGCCTAGGCAAAGCGCGGTGCCGACTACCGATGTGTCATGCCGCTCTACGCAGCCACCCCTGAACACATGTACTAGACAGGATCACGGCATCACAATCATGAGAATAGCATGACAAATCGGATATCACAGTGGTCACAGTGACTTGAGCTCACCGCCGTGGAAACATACCATGACAACACAGTCCGGTTCATTGCAGCGCGACGCCACTATCATGCGAGAAACATAGCTATGCGGGGAGCGGGGAGTATTTAAATAAAGTGGCGTGATAGGAATATACCAAGAAGAGCTGTCTCTGATTACCACATCATCAAAATGTTACCGTCATAACAGAGTCCAATTGGACCCCTTTCCCTTTCATATAGAAAGAGGGATATGAAAATATATTCCAAGACATGTAACGGTTGACATATCAAAGATATTGGACGATACTAATCTCTTTCCGAAAGACGCAAACTCAACTAGACCAGAGCAGACAGTGACATGCAACCTATTCACATTGCTGCACGAGATGATGCTATGGCCAGCCGCTTGAACCCATACCTTGCATGGAGACCGACTTCCAATGTACCGGACCAGTAATGATGAACACAGTGGCAATAACAAGGCACTGTTGACAATACACAGTGCCAGCATCATAGTCTGAGGCTTGCTGGGTGACAGCACGGCAGGCATGCTGGAAAGTTTGGGCAAACCCGTACTACTAGCGTTGGGAGATGAAATTTGACGAACGTTCAAATTCTCAGAGTCGGGATCCAAACTAGGCTGCATTGGGCTTAACAATCTCACACATTATTCGACACGTGTGGCTGAAAGCTGACACTTACCTTCGCACTATAAAGCAGCATGCAGCGTACGAACCCATCCGTCAACATGGTCTGCGGGATCATGACTGTCTTCAATGACATCAATCCAACTCTTACGTCCGCTTGTGCTACAGCTGACAAACTTGGCTTTTAGTGACTCCGGCCAGAGATGGTGGGTGGCGTAGAAAGGTCCGCGTAACACCTCTAAAAAAAAACAGGCCAGCAAATCCACACGTGCACGCACCACTCATTCAAACACAAACACGTCAGCGCACAGGACACACAAACACTCTTGTGGTTAGGGACCATAGCTAGAGTTTG